AAAATAATTGAAGTTATTAACTGGCCATTAAAATGTCAAAAAAAAAAACAACAGCAAAAAAATAATCCACAAAACAATTGCGAAATTAAAGTAATTTTAAATAAACACAGAAAATACGGCTAATCTAAGCATTTATTCATATATATGTACATATGTACATATGTATGTTAAAGTGCGTATGTACATAGTACACTGCCGACAAAAAGTATTGGCACAGCAAAGTTTTCACAATATATGAAAACATTTTGTTTCTAATATTTTTCAGCCAATTTTTTATAAAAATATGGTTCATTTCACAACAAAAAACATAAAAATATAATTCCTAAACATTGTGCAAAACTCAGCAAATTTTCAACTTTTAATTCAGATTTTTTAGAATTTTTGAGTATGCCGTTTTGCAGCCCATTGAATTCTAGTAAAAAAACTGCATGTTCGGAGTTAGTCAAAAATTGCATTGATTTTTGAGATTTTTTTGTTGAAGGTGTTTAGCATTTTTGCATATAAAGTATTTTCGAAAAAAATTTATTGTATGGAAGAGACTGCGTGAAAAAAAAATTGCCAAAAATTGGGCTACAAATCAGCATACCCAAAAAAGTTCTAAAAAATCTGATTAAAAAGTTGAAAATTTTTATGAAAATTAGCTGAATTTTCGTGAGATTTGCACAACGTTTAGGAATTATATTTTTATGTTTTTTTCTTGCAGAATGTGCCATATTTTTATAAAAATTTGGCGGAAGAATATTAGAAAAAAAAAAATTGTTGCATATATTGTGAAAAATTTGCAGTGCCAATACTTTTTGCCGGCAGTGTAAGTTTGTGTGTGTGCGTATGTGCGGCGAGGCATGTCAATTGAGATATCAATTACAAATGCCCAAAGTGATTATATAATTCTGATTGACAATTTTTCGCATTGCACTGAACAGCTTAGCTTGTTAAGGTTAAAGAAAATCAAAAAAAAAAATATAATAAAAAAGTTACAAATGACTCAAATTAAAAAATAAATCGCTTAGAATATAAAAAACTATGCAAATTGTTATGCTTGCGGGATTATTGACATGTTTCGCATAAGAACGGCTGAAATTAACGCATTAAAATTTCAACAGAATTCGTAAAAAAAGTGGAAAAAATATTTAAATTTAACAAAAAACGGCAGATATGTAGCCCACATGCACACGTTGCAACTAATTTTACCATAGAATGCAACTTATTTATTTATTCAGTAGGCTACTCCAGCCGCCACTCAGCCAACCACTCAGCGAGTCAGTTCGCCGGCCGTCAGCCACGCACTCAAGCGCTTTTGCATTATTCAACTGATAAATTTATGAAAATTAATTATTTTATATGTATTATACAAATTTACACAAATAATTTTTATGTAGCTGTGTGTGTAGTGCCATTAATAATAAAAAATCATGCTGTGGCGAGTAGTTGACAAAGTGCTGTGTAAGTTTTTTTTTTTGTAATATTCTTGGCGATTTTTTAAGCTCAACTCTAATTATGGACACTGCCTGGTTGATGGATTTATTTTTCAATTACAGGAAACTTTAATGATTATGGTGCCAGAAATTTGGCAAAAGACAACAAATTGTTTAAAATATTGCAGGTATTTTTGAGAAAATTAATTGCTTCTTAAAATAATCCAAATCGATTCAGATGTAAGTAAAAGGCATCATTTTTTAAGTTTGGAATGCCCGTTCTCTACTCTCTATACCTACATACGGAATTGATTAATTTAAGCTCAGGGTTTCAATGGTTTCAGTACCCATGAACCTAAGGGCCATTTTCTCGACTGCCTGTTAAATTTAATTTCCCTTTAAACACATCGACTGTCTATTATATGCATGTGATTGATAAAGCAGTCGAATTAAATAAATGTAACAGGCAGTCGAGAAAACAGTCCCTAGTCTCCTACTCCGATCGCGAGACATTCGAATTCGGATTTGGGATCTTCTTCGTTTTTGTAGTTTCCGGCGAAGCTATTCTAAGTGATTTGAATTGAAGAATCGTAGTATATTTAGATTAAAAGTGGCGATTCGCATGCTTAAACTCTTTCTATATGACAAAAGTTCAAAGAAGTGTGCTTCTAAAGTTCCAGCATCCATAGCTGCTCTGCCATCACCTGAAGTGATCTACGGGAATTTTCTACAGTTTATGACCTACTTGTGACAAAGTTTACAGCTACCTGACTATCTGAGAAAATAGTTTAAATAGCATTAGAAATTCTACTTGGCAGACCATGCAATGATCTGATAGGTTGAACGACTTTTTTATTCCTAGTTGTTCCAATTGCCTGCTTCCGCAGTTTAGTCTGTTCCTTCCCACAGACGACGCCTAATAAGAATTGAGGAGCGGCCACGGTTATTCACTTTCCAGCTGGAAAAATTTTGTAGGATAACGGCATCATGTTTTGAAGGCGCCTCTTCAACAAAAATGACCAGCGATCTTACACCGGGAGCTTTGACTGGCCAAACGCCAACGGAAACCGTTGGAGCTGCTATGAGGGTGAAATCCGGATATCAATGTATGTACATGTAATGTATCTTATCGATTTTTGATGCCTTTACTTCGTTCAAGGCCAGGTTAGGTTAAGATATTGCGACTGGGACCATTAAAAAGTTGACCTTTCTAAACTATTACGATTATTCTAAATATAAAAGCAGAGTATGCTTAGAAAGAAGTTAAGCAACAGGCTGATACCAGTTCCAGGAGGTGAGACAGTTAAACCTCAGTCTACCGAAAGACGAAGAGCATATGAGAAAATTTTGAGATTATTCTGCCCTTTATCTTCCAAACAGTTGTGGTAATCGGAATCCGGTGAAATCCATAACTTTCCTGCATATAACCCAAATGGAGTGGGATCTGTCAGCCGTATATATAAGCAGAATATCTCGCGATTTAACTTTTTGTTCACTTATCGACTTATTTTTTTTGTAAGTCAAGGCTTTCATCCCCGTTCTTGGAAGTCTCAAATCATGTGCAAGAGATTATTTGATTTGTTAATTAGATCTAATAATTTGTTAACTATTTAGCTACAAATATGCATAAGTATCAAATAAACAGTTTTTCTCTACTTACATAAGACATTGTGACTTGATTACTGTTGTTCGCGGCCATGGCATTGCGCTTGCCCAACAGCGATTGATTCATGCGATTCGTACCATAGTACATTTCCCAAATGCTCGGCTTCTTTCGATGCCATTCCAAAATTGAGTCCTTATCACCTGATTCGCCCGATTCCGCGCCGCTACCATTACCAGCCGAACTGCAGCCGCCACCATTTGGTTTAACTTTACCGCCGATTTCGGCATCCGCCGGTGGCGCTGATAATGTTTTCGCATCTAATTTACTCAATACCGGCTGCTGGAATGAGAGATTGCGTTGCAGTTGCGTTGTGGGCACATGCAAGGTTATCACATTTTGATCACGTTCGCGCTGTCTACGCTCTGCGGTGTAACGATCGCGATGCGGTAGCGATGGACGACGTTGCTGCTGCGCTAGCGACGTTTGTGACGATACGCGTTGCAAAGTTTCCGACTCTGCATAACAATTGGTGACGGGAAATACCTCAGTCAGGGATTTTCGCTTCATTTTGAAATTCGGATCACTCGCGCAGCGTATCGAGGCGATTTGTTCACGTATACTCACGGGCACGCCATCGCAGATTGCTTCGTAGTTGCCGGCGATGTAACCGTAATCCGACTCGATCGTACCGAGACTGTGCGTCGAACGGCGACGCTCGAAGGCCTTCTTCATTTTTACGATATTGTGATTTCTTACAAGCCCGCTGCATAGTTGACGTATTTCCAATTCGCTGTGCTGGTTCATGCGATCCAAATAGTTTTCCAACTCGTTTTTCAGCGTCTTAATCATGCCTTCCAGCTCATGTGGCAGTTGCTGCGCAGGCGCCGCAGGATTATTCAAATGTGCATCGGAGCTGTGCGTACCGGCGCTGCCACTCGCCTGCGAGAGCAAACGTATCTTGTCGCGCACATCCTCGAGCAGCTCACGCGTGTTCTGGAAGTGCAGCTGATCTTCATAGCGTTTCATGTAGTGGTCTGCGACCGAAACTGACTTCTCCGAGACGGTGCCCGTACCAGCAACGATATCACTTTCGACGCGATACGCATCGTCAGGGCAGGAATTTATATACTTTGCACACTTATAATTATTCTCCTCCTCCTGCTCATCGGTGAGAAAAGTGGGATTGTCGATGCCACCATCGCGCAATTGCTGTGGCTTGCGCAACTTGCCGCCAGCAGTGCGCTCATTGACTAGCAAAAATGAGTCGAGGTCTATGTCGAGCAGCGAATCGTCCACCATATCGTCGGGCCATGAGCGACGCGGTTGATTGGCGGGATCGTAGCCCTCCATAATGGTGGGCAAATAATGATGCGGGTGTTGGGGTACACGGCTAGCCAACTTATCGCCGCCGCTAGCATCCAACGCGTGCGGTGGCATCGGCAGGTATGCGTGGTGATGATGATGATGATGCTGGGTCTGTACAAAGGCAGCAATGCGTTCGTGCGAACTTAGACTTGGAAAATTTTTCAAATGGCGATCGAGATTCTCGATGCTGGTCTCGAGTATGCGCAGATTATCGCTGAAATATTGCGATTGTGAATCTGTGTATTCCTCGGAGGTTTGTCGTTGTAATAAGAATTGCAAGCTAGCCGGCACTTTGCTGACCGCACCAAATGTGCTCTTCGGCGCATCCTGCGAACTATTGCCAGCCTTGTTGGGGTATCGCGCAGCCGATGCAGTTGCATCGCCAGCTTCACCATCGCAATCGTCCTCGCCACCGTCCAACTCGCTGCAACCGGCAATACCACTTTCGCCGTTTCGACTTGCCGCCGTGCCGTTGCGACGTCCATAATAACGCTGTGTCACACCTCCTTTACTGCTCATATCCCGCGCGTGGCTATGAACCATCGTTGTTGCGGCCGTTATCGTTGCCGGCGCCGCTGTGTTTTTGCTGTTGCTATTCCCGCTGACAGTTGTTTTGACTGCACTTTTACTGCTGCTCTTACCAGCGCCGGCTCCAACACCAACCCCACCAGTGCCAGTGCCAGTGCCAGTGCCACTCACGTCTAGGATATCTATAACCGGTTCACAATAGATATGCTCGTCCAGTGAATATGTGGAGCAAACATTCGAACTGTAGTAACCGGACGAGCCGCTTTTGTCCGTCGAATAGTGCGACTGATGTGAACTGGTGCGTCCGCGGCGCACACTGCCACCACCGCTCTGGGCCAATTTGGAATCGCTGGTTTTTGACGACGTTGTGACTTTGCCGCCGTTGCTACTCCGTATCGTCGTCCCCGTCCCCGTCGCCGTCCCCGTCCCCGTTTTCGTTGTGTTTGTCGTCACTTCGTTGTGTTCGTCGGCACTCACGCTAGACGCGGTCGTCGTCGTTGTTATTGTCGAACTGGTAGACTGTTTCTTGACGCGCACTGCTGCACCCGGTGCTGAGGTGGTTGCTATTGGCACTGTTGATTTAGCTTTTGCTGTTGCTGTTGCTGTTGCAGCTGCTGCCGTCTTCGTGGCCGTTGATACTCTGAATGGCGCACCACTATCGACATCGCTGGCGACTAGTAAACTGGCGTAACCATCATTGCTGTTCGCATAGTTTAGCCTGTTTTTGGTAGTGTTGGTGTTGCAAATACTATTATTGTTGCTGTTATTGTTGCTATTACCATTGCTGCTGCTGTTGGTATTTATCGCCTTTGTTTTGGCTGTGTTTGTAACAGCGTTACTCTTATTATTACTACTGATGTGGTTGCTATTGCTGTTGCTGTTGTTGTTGTTGTTGTGTTGTGTGTGCTTGCTGCTAATGGCATTGGTGGTCATCATCATTGTTTTACCGCTGCTGCTGGGGCTATTGCTACAATTATTTATGCTATCGTTGAAGTTGTTGTTGTTGTTGCTGCTGCTTTTGTTGGCCATCTGCTGTTGGTTATGGCTATTTTGCAGTAATTTGTCCGCGCGTCCACTGATGTTGACTGCCAATGGCATTGAATTCGCATTGCCAACACTGCAAGTAGACAAACATACAGACAAACATATGAATAAATAAATGAGAGAAATATGTATGTATGTAAAATCAAGCGAAAATGTTAAAAAGGGAAATTTATTTCATTAAAGCGCGCGCTTGTGAGTTTCCACACCAGAGTGACCATATGCTCGGTACATAAATAAATACATACATACATATGTGTATAAGTGCAAATGCCACTATTTGGCTGTACATATGTACATATATATATTTATTTATATATATATTTTTATTAACATCTATACGTATGGACATGTAAGCATGCAAGTGTATTCAAGTTGCATGTGGCAATAGTTGTGCGGCAACATGAAAAGTGGGCCAAACCGCATGTGTCTTCGGCTGTCAAATGGGTATTCTGGCTGCGTTGTGGTCTGGCATGTTGGCAATGAAACAATATTCGTTTTCCACCAAACAAAAAATAGAAAGTGAGTGCATTTGGTAGCGAACAATTTTCATTTTGATTAAAAATATTTTCATTTGATAGCTTCAGCTTTTTAGCAAAAAATTCATAAATAGAAGGATTTGATAAAATATTTTCGTTAGTGGTGAAGACCGGCATTTCACGGACCGACCGAAAATTTTATCAGAGAGTTAGGCGACTTACGAAAGGTTTCAATGCCAGGACGAATTCCTGTAAGAACAAGCATGGTGACCTAGTGAACGATGTCCACAATGTACTTAAATTATGGAAGAAATACTTTTCCAACCTATTGAATGGCAACAGCACTTAAGGTAGTGGAGAAGCAAACCCCACCGGAGTCGATGTCCCCACCGCCTGACTATGACGACGAGGTAGCTGCTGGAGCTAACGGCTTATCAGCCGAGCTATTCAAGAACGGCGGTGAGGAGCTGATAAGGCGTATGCATACGGTAACCATAAATATGGATTCAAAATGAAGGACAATTTTTCAAAAATATGCCTACATATATTTACGTGGTATAAAAATATCAAAAGAGTATTTATGATTCTAAATTCTTAATACATTTTAAACTTTAAAAACGAATCAGGTTTTCTTTATCGATATTAATCTTTTTTTACATGAATATTTATAAAAGTATAGTAAAACATCTTATAATTACAATAGCTTACACGTTCAAAACGAAAACAATACCTTTTTTTTTTTGTTTTTTGGTACTTTTCGCAGCTATTTGTCAAAAATCGACGTCATGAACCGACGTAATCGACGAGTTACAAACTGCTCCTTACAAAAATAAATAATTTGTGCAGATTGCGCTCCATAGCATCTACATTTCTAATCCGATTTTCATTATCTTTGGCTCAAAATTTACTGTAGTGATATATCTTCTTTATCGAATTTTTAAAATAATGAAAAAAATAATCTCATGAAACTGCGTATTTGATTGAAAATCTCACTTTTTTCGAATTTGATGACAAAATGCAAATGGTCGCCTGTAGCACTAATAATTTTCATTGAAGTCGTCACAAGTTATATATTTTGGTAAGAGGCACATCAATACCCTTCGAGCTGTAAGTCGCTTACGTTGATTAGGAGATTTTTTCATGACATATTGAAGAAAAGCTACGAAAAGTACCAAAAAACACTTTTTTGAAAAAATCCATCCATTGTCCGATAATTTTAAAATAACGAATAAAATGCGGGACAAATGCAGGACACTTGGAAAAAATCAGTACATTTTCAGGTTTTTCAGGTTTGAAAAACTACGCAGGACCGACGTTTGAAAAACAGTACGGTCCTGCAAAAAACAGAACGGATGGTCACCGTACGTATGCATCAACTCTTATGCAGAATATGGGCAAATGAACGCATGCCCGGCGAGTGGAATTTAAGTGTGCTCTGCCTAATCTATGGAATCAGCCTTCTAAGCATAGGTTACAAGGTCTTATCGAGTGTATTGTGTGAAAGTCCGATGCCCATCGTCAACTAACTGATCGTGCGTTATTAGTGTGGCTTAAGACCAGGCAAATCCACCATAGACCAGGTATTCACAATACACCAAATCTTGGAAAAGACCCGCGAGACTAGGTTCGACATACACCATCTAAATATTTGTCGATTCCAAAGCCGTTTTCGACAGCACGAAAGCTAGAAACTAATACGGCTGTGTAAAATGACGTTGAGCAACTCAGCAGCGAATTTAAATTCAGCGGTTCCCCTGGCTAGGTCCAGCTCTGAAAGTATTCAACTTGGGTCGCGATTATGGTAACAGAGGAAAATGAATGCCTCCTCTGCGTTGGAAAGACCAGGTGAAAAAGGATTTGGCTTCACTTGGCATCCTTCACCTTACTACGAATTTTGTAAAGTCTTGCACTGTGGAATAGCTCTCTTTACGCTTTAAACTCAAAGGAACAGCAAATGAATTGAGTAGCGCAAAAATATTAGTTTCTTGGGTTTTCTAAAAAGAAAATAGTCCTGATGAAAACGGAATACTGAGCCATCGGGACGAGATGTAGATTTTTGGTCATTAAATTCTCTACGATTTCAGCTAAGTTTAGCTGTTTACGGCTATATTTAGCTGTTTATCTAACATTAATATCATCACTTAAAATAATATGTATTTGTGGATATTTACAATTACCTTGAAGATAAATTACGTATGTATGTATGTATTTCCGTTCGTTTGCTTGCCCAATGTTCAATAGCTCATTGCAAAAATATTTTTATTTAAATGCATTTAGAAATCTATATACGTCTTCTTATTTAATTCTCATTTCGAAAGTTTAAAAAATAAAGCCTTGTACTCGAAATACACCGCTAACTACCAGTTGCTAGCGGAACAAAGTTTCACTTTCCATTTGCAGAATGCACTTTATCGACGATTTTCCAATCGAACGCGCGCGCCGCAGCCAAAGCAAAATCAACCACAAAATTTTCATCGCTGCTCTACGCTAACTGCTGAGTCTGCGCAATACTTGAATTGTACGCGCAGGAATGAACGTTTTGTTTATTTTGAAAAAAAAAAAAAAAAAAACCAAAGTCCATTTAATGGTTAATTCCGTTGGTTAAATGAAAAAAAAGCAATAAGTAAAACACGCACACTCAAACATAAATAAAAGTGCTGGAAAAACAAATCAGAAAGAAGTAAACTCGCTCGATTTCGAAATTCGCGCACTAAACTCGTTCTAAGTCAAACAGGATTATGGCGTAAATACATAACGGTTTTCGGTAAGGCAACTTAAGCAACTGCAAGCCAAGTTAGTACGACTAGGTAAGTAAGTCAAGAGGCAAATGCCACAATTAGTGTTCGACTATTGACTGCTGGTCTGCGTGCTAAGTGGTCAGCGGTAGGCCGCCGATTGGTTTGTTCAGATATATGTACCCCCCCCTATGTATGTATGTATGTATGTATGTATGTATGTAGGTGCGCGCGTGCACCGGTTTGTGGCGACGTTGAATAGAGCAGCGGCTGCCATCAGCAATGAAAGTGGTTTGACATGACTTCTTATGGCTTTTTGGTATTTTGTCATGCCACATCCGTGAGGCAGCACCGGCGCACTGCAAAGCGTACAAACAAATACATACTCATATGCCTTACTATATGCATGTTAAAAGAATTCTTAGCTGTTGCTGAGGAAATGTATTGTACGACGGGTATTAAACTTTTGCTTTTTTAATTGCATTCTACTTAGACACGCCTTACCACGCCCCAAAGTTGCCATTGAGTTGTCGGCGCACGCGTATGTGATTATGATGCAAGAGTATCACATATTGCCTGAATGGCATAGCAAAAAAAAATTGATCATAGCATCGTTTCAATGTTGAAATTTATCATTCTATTGCAATTTAGGCAAATGTCTGCTTTTAGTAGAAAAACAAATTACTAATGGACCGCGCATGCGTACGCATCGAAGCGCGTCCGCAATGACCGACAATGGGCGTCTACCTAATATATTTACGTTGGTAATTTATGCTCTTAACTATTTTAGATACCCCACTGTGCAGTGCAATTTTAGATAATTAGCATGCGAATATCTGCGTAGTTCGGCTTAAGAAGGTTTACATACATAATCGTACATCAGGGTCAAGGCACCATACGAATAGATACCAAATATGGAACTAAGTAATATCTGTGATTTAGATTAATTAAATTTATTGATAGAGACGATTTCCTGAGAGTGTAAGTAAAATAACTACTGTTAAGTAACATAACGTAACGCGTGCAGCACCGGGTAACAGGATAGTGCCGCAGCGCGACCCTACTTGTCGTACAAGGCGACTAAATGGGTTGATAGATGCGGAGAAAGCGACCCCGTCTTTGTGAGTCGTCACCGAGGGAAAACTTATGGCTTTGCATAAGACTTGGACTACAACAGCTGCCCTCTATGATAACAGCCGGAGAGAAATAAGCATACAGGTTTTGATAACTGTCACGGGCTGTGGCACACTGGAATTCCCCGGACGAGTCGCATTGCATTTTTCACCGTGGACTTCTAAGGGGTTGATATGAACTGGTTCTATCGAGGCATAAGCCGCCGTACGTAGTGGGAGCTGGATACTTGAGGCCTTGATAAGGAAGTGTCGATTGGATGTAAGAGTAATAACAGTCTGCATTACACGGCCGAGCGCCGATCCGTCCGGTATTCAGGACCGACAAGGCGCAGGTCACGCTTCAGGGAACTGGGGTAAGGATACTGCCCCCGATGTAATATCCGTTCCTGACTATTATGGCCTGGTCCTCCACACACGATCCGCTGATGATAAATAATAACAAAAGATAGGGAAATAAATGGAAGTCTTAACTAAAAAAGAAACAACAACAGGAGGAGCTCTGCCACCAGAAGCTCCGCTTGCAAAAGATGGCATCTACTAGCAACACAACAAATCGGTGGACCAAAATAGGTAGCACATGTGGAAGAAGTAAACCCGGTGAGAATCGAAACAGCTTAACACGTAATGGCTCTGCTACGTCAAAACACGTCGCATAGTTCACGATATTAGAAGAATGTGCAACTAGAGACTGAATAGAAAAGATTCGAGACTAAGGAGCAAAGAGAGTGG